AAGTAATAATAAGTAACTAACTAATAAGTAATAAGTAAGTAATAATAAGTAATAAGACGAGTATAACTAAGTAAGTATAATAGATAAGTAGGGAAGATAAGGTAAGAGAGATAATAAGGGAATAGTAAGGAAAGTAATAAGAGGGTAAAGTGAGTGATAACAGAGGAAGTGATATGAGTAGGAATAATAAGGAAGAGAGAAATATGAGTAGGAAGAAGGTAATATAGGTGATATGAGTAATAAGAAGGTAATAAGAGAGATATGAATAATAACAAGGTAAGAAAGTAATATGAATAATAATAAGGTAATAAGAGTAATAATAGGGTAAGGAAGTGATAACAAGGTAAGGAAGTGATAATAAGGTAAGGAAGTGATAATAAGGTAATGTAGGTAATAAGAGTAATAAGAGAGATAATAAGGTAATGTGAGTAATAAGAGAGATAGTAAGGTAATGTAGGTAATATGAATAATAATAAGGTAAGGAAGTGATAAGAGGGTAAGTAAGTAGCTAATAAAGTAAGTAATAACAACTAACTAAATAAGTAATAAGGTAAGAAGTAAAATAGATAAGTAGGGAAGGTAAGAGGGATAAGGAATAATACGGGATATAGGGAATATGAGTAGTAGGGTAAGGAAGTGGAGTAGTGATAGGGTAGGAATATAAGGAAGGGAAATAAGAAATGGAGAGGGAATAAGAGGTGAGAGATATGAGTAGTAATAAGGGAATATAGGTAATGACAAGGTAAGAGAGTGATATGAGGAATAAGAGAGTAAGGAAGTGATATGAGGGTAATATAGGTAATAATAAGGTAAGTAAGAAATAAGAGGGTAATATAGGTAATAAGTAATAAGTAAATAAGTAATAATAAGGTAAGTAACTATATAATGACTATAGCTAAGTAAGGGTGAGTAATAAACTGATGTGAGTAATAATAGGGTAAGAGAGATAAGTGGGAAAATAAGGGGAGAGATATGAGAGTAATGAGGTAATGTGAGGAATAAGAGAGTAAGGAAGTGATATGAGAGATAGTAAGGTAAGAAGGTAGTATGAGAGATGATAAGGTAAGGAAGTAATAACAAGGAAAT